ATTATTGCTGCTTTCTCCACTTGAAAACTTAATGCGGAACTAAAATTTAGATTCTGGGTCTCAATTCCTATCTGTAAAATTAAAGGGGCATTTATTATGCTCCTTTGATATTATAAATAAAAACTTATTTCAATTTTCTTCCCCTTGAAGACATAATGTAAAATTTAAAATTTTCACTTGGGTTTACACCTCTCAATTAGAGATATTTAAAGTCTTTCGAATTTGTTCGTATTTTTTCCCGAAATCCTCACAAAAGTTCTCCTTAAAAATTAAGAATAATTCTACGAGAATTAGAGAGGCATAACGTCGGGAGTTGCCTGAGTAACGCTTCTTCGATATTTTACGTTGCAAGGATACGTTAATCAGAAATCCGAGTGAAATCTAAGGCGAATCCCTAACGAATCCCGAAGGCAAGATTAGTACCGGGGCTCGACGTCGCGAAATTCCGTTCGCCAAAACGTCGCAATACAACTTCCGCTAAACCACGATTACGTGGCGAGTGTTTCGCGTGACATAGATTACTCGAGGCGGAGACTCCGGTGGTACCGGCGTAACGAGGTAAGCCAAAGATCGTCTCGCTTCACAAGGTCTTTTACCGAGGGATAACTACTGGAAAACTGGAGCTACATGACATCAGGAGAGCGGCTATCTCGAGCAAGCAACACCCCTTCGATGTTCTCTCCGAGGAGGATGTTGAGCGCGGATCGTTGGTAGCGGCGGACCCGGGCGACCCTGCCGACCCCCGACGGGCTGAAAGTGCGGGTTCGGTGGAAAAGGCTTTAAAAAAGAGCCGAGAAAACGAACGAGTGCACGCGACCAAGATGGCGTCGTGCCCGGGCACGTCGGGTATATTACGATAGACCGGGGTACGCGCGGGGGAACGCGACGACGACGAACGCGGCGGAGCAGGCAGGCATGGAAGCCGCAAAACAGGAGGATGGGGATAATTGCGCGAGGCAATGCACGAGGCTCCTCCCCTTATTCAAGCCTAAAGCCTGCAACTGCAAGTGCCAAGCTACTCACTTTGCGGTGCGCACACATGACACGTTCGGCCGCTCGCGACGCGCATCCCGCAACGCTGATGCCATGCGCTCCGCCTTTGCGCTACCGCACTGTGCGAGTGTGCGTGCTTTTATTACGTATATGAACGCGTGCGTATGTGTGTGCATGGTGCGCGCGAGCGGGCGCCTACACGTGTGTATTTGTACGCAACAATGACCAGGACTCCCTGGAAATCTGACTCACTCACGACGACGACGACGACGCTCGTCGTTGTTGCGTACCTTCTATCGATCCGCTTTTCTTCTCTACAGATTCGCTGACGGGCCTTTTCGGGCTTTCGGAAGGAGACTCGAGAGTTCGCTCGATTTTGTATTTCCGACGTTAGAAGCAAGGTGTCGCGCGAGAATTAGTTGACCACCGAGTCGAAGAAAACGAAGGCGCAACGAAGACGGCGACAGGAAAATCCACATTGTTAATTTCGCACTTAGTGTGCCCTCTGATTCTTAGTGAATTAACTCGATTTTGTGTCGGAACCAAACTTCTCGTTGCTAAGGTTTTAATTCTGTTTTTGTAAAGTTCCCCTCGAACATCGTTAATAGTTTACTAATAACATTAAAAAAATTGTTTACATCAATGGGAGAGATATCAATGAAAAACGTACTACGTACGTTGAATAATGAATTCCATTAAAAAGGCTATTAAAAGCTGATCTGTTCGCTAATTGCGCAAGCAGTTCCTTCTCTGCAATTGTTTTTATAATTCAAGAAACATTCTTTCGCGAGATAACGCAAGAGCCTTTAAGACTAGGTGCTGCAGTTATGAAATTTCCAGGAATAAGAACCGAAGGCGTGTCGGTATAAATTCAACGGGTTCGCCGCCATTACGAAGTGCGTACATTGAAGTACATTATCTTCATGAGAAACTATAAAGTGGCTGAATCAACGGTATTTATAAAAATATTTTGCTGAATTACCACTAAAAATTATAGCGACTTGACAACTCACGATATCTGCTTAGCTTATGCAAAAAAAATTGCATATGAGTGCAATGAAAGTAAAGAAGCTTATACACCAAAAAAATACTAAATTCAAATAAATAATTACTTTAATACTCCTTAGCAAATTGCTCGGATTAGATAAATTATTCAAATAAAACATCTACTTAATTCAAGTTAAACTCTGCTAAAGAGAGTATTGGAGTAATTATTTACTTGAATCTAACGCTTTTTTTTATGTAGAAATATCGTGAAACCAACGAACATAACGCGAAAAATATTAGACGAATATTTAGCCCATCATATACACTCATCGATGAAGCAATGCAAATTTAAAGATTTTTTATTTTTAATTTGCATTTTTACCGCAGTTTTAGAGCGTCGCTTAAAACTTATCTAAACGAAACGTACTATTTTCTCGTGATTATTTCAATTTAACTTAGACTTTAACTTGAAATCTTAATTTTACATGTGTTATGATAATATGAAATTCAAACCCTATGCTTATGACGTGTATCAGTTAAGAAAAGATTGTCTTTTATATATAAATATTTTAACCTCTAACATAATCTATCCATTTTAACATAAATCGTAATTTCCCTTTAATTTCGCCAACACTTCCGATTATTTTTATTAATTTATATTAACTAAATAATCGAAGCGATTTCGTGCATGTTAAAGATATCCCAAAACAATTCTTAATAAATCAGACTATATCTTACATAGGTATTGTTTATGAATACTACTTATTCTGTTTTACTATGTCCGTGATAACCCGAACAACACGTATTGGCTGATGTTATCCAACGTTGGCCAAATGTTGAGCAACGATTAGCCAATATGTGTTGTTTGAGTTATCACGTAGTAAAAAGGAATAGAGTATTCATAAACAGCATTTATATTATATATATTACAAAATATAGCTTGATTTTTTAACAATATTGTTTTGCGATATCGTAACGCGCACAAAATCATTTTGAAAATTGTTTAGTTCATTTAGATTAATTTATACAGAATATTAATTTTTTAAAGACTTACCATTATTGCTCGTATCTTTTGTTTCTCCATTCTCCCTTTATTGCTTCTCTCCACCAAATTGATAATCTTCGCACCAGTCAAATTACAAAATTGTCGACTTCTTGCAGTGGTTACTACGAGAATAACAACATTTAATTAAATATTTGTGTTAGTTTTTTATTTTCTTATGTTATCGTATATCTTTCATGTCATATGTTTTATTCTCTCGTTTTAAACGATTAGTTATTTTTTTATTTCTAACGCAAAATAGCTATCGACCAGTATAACAGTGTTATTATTATCACATATACAGCTGTTTAATATTTATGAACTTGTTTTCTTCTCCCCCCCCCCCCCCCCCCACAAAANCACGTAACGCCATCTTGGACGCATATCTTATATAACAATCTATTATAAGCATGTATGAATAATTAAATAATAATTGCAGAATAAGATAGAATAAAATTACAAACTAAATGAAAGATCACGCTACAAAATTCAGAAAAGATCACGCTACAAAATTCAGAAACATTTAGCCTTAATTTATAATAATATCTATCGTCCATTTAAGAGAACGTTATTCCTGTAAATGTCGACAGACGTTTTATTGCATTTTTATTATCGTCTTTATTACATCCCCAGATAGCACAATGTCCTAAATCAGTACATAAGACTTAAAGACATCTCTAAGTAAAACGTCTTAGAGACATCTTAAAAATATCTTAAATGTCTTGTGCCCTGATTTTGAATATTGTGTTATCTGAGTCATTATTGCTCATCATACAAGTGATTGTTTTTATCATTAGAGAAATATATTTAATATGTGTGATAAAATAATATATTTTCAATCATGGACATCATCGTTTAATATGTTACATATCGCGTAGATCATCGGTGGTCCACATTAGACTTTCCGTTCAAGTTGCATAGCGCATATATTATGTTACCTCTTCCTTTTCATAATAATGATTTCTGTGTCTTATAAATATTATAAGATGTATCTTATATATAATGCGATAATCGTGGATTATCGATGACCTACGCAATGTGAATGAAAAGTCATGTAAAATTGGCATCCCATATCCTACTTAATTATTATATATGTTACAACAATTGTATTCGCCATTTTGATTCAGTGTACAGAAAGTTGATCGAACTAACCCTTCCGAAATCTCGCGTCGATACGAGCTACTCCGGCATAAATAACACGAAATATAACGACCTCCTGATAATGCAGTCTTTAATCTCGCGATTTATATCATATTCTACGCGAAACGTACGCGAAATCGACACGTAAAATATGCAGAAAACGGACTTACCAGTGGGCATGACCGTTGCGCGTTGCTAATCTTCCAAAAAGAAAGAACGACGACAAGTTCACTTCGAATGTTGCATTATGGGCGCGAACCTAAGTCTGCTCTTTCTTAGCTGCACCTTCTGTACCTCCGCCCAATTTTTTTCTATTCCTCTTTCTTTCACCGAGTCTCAAGTATAAGTCTATTTTATTTTAAGTATAGAAAGTAACGTTAATAACGTAGTGCTAACAAATGACCATAGTTGGATATTAACAATAAATTCATCTTGCGCCCTTGAAAATAGCTAAATATTGTACCGCATAGAGACAATTCATGCGTGCCAACGCCATCGTGTGACGACTTACCTAGCATTATCGATGCTCGATAGTAGATAGTGCAATTACAATTTCGCGAAAATAAAAGAATACACGTCGCGATGTGACGATCACAGCGTTCTTCGCGAAACTTAGCGCAACGAGAAGACAAGATCTGAATCAACCTTTCGTCCCTTATTTCGCAATGTAAATTGATGATTCGCTTTGAGCTCGAATTTGCCCGATCGGCAGGTTTTCGACCCATTCGGTGGACATGCTGCCATCTAGAAGGCGAGCAACGAAACTCCGCGGTGCCGAGTGCGCGAACATCTTGCTACCGATCGCTCAATGGCTCGAGCCAGTTCGAATCGGGGAGTTTCGAATTGACCGCGATTGACGTCTACCCCGAGATTCCGGTCCGTCTTCTGTATGTAAATTGTTTTGATTTTTGTGTAGATAACGCCACGACGCAAGTACGGATCGCCTTGCGCCGCGGACGAGAACACCTCCCGGAGCTTTTATTTTAGGTAATTACGATTGTACGTGCCGTATGAATGACAGATAGTGTCAAGGACGATAATCGCAAGTCGAATGTTACTTATCTCTCGCTAACCTTATTTGATCTAACGTGGCTCGTCCAACGTAATAATCGTTTGTTCTACGCTCGGGCGCTTTCGCAATCCTCTCGGCAATAAACGATAAGCTCTTAGCGTTGGTCCAAAAATGACTATTTTTTGGGGCTGACTTGTTTCTCCAGTTATACTAAACTAACTATATTACACACTCAACTGATCGCCTTAATCAGACTCAGTGGACTGCTCTGATAGTCTTAGTTCAGCAATTACAAGCTTCGATAAGGATATCGAATTACAGGACAGATTGTGTTGTTTCAGTTCTAAAGCGGAAATTAGTTTACAACAATGTTCGAGTGGGCATACGACGGTGTAAATAGTTCTATACCTCGCAATGTTGGTCCAGAATGTGCAAATTACCTGACGCTGAAACGGAGATTAATAGAAACATTGTTTATATCCATATTTATCATATCCTGCATTGTATGGGGCCTGAAGCGAGTGACTTTGCCAAAGAACCTGGCCTATGTCAATCAGGACCATGTCGGCAGGAGAGTCCTGTTAATCATGATGTCTTTGGTCCTAGGAATGGAGATCGGTTTTAAATTCACTAGCAGAACTGTTATATATTTGTTGAACCCGTGTCATATTACAACGGCGATACAAGTAAGTTTAAGATATTATCTTGATTCGAGTATCAAGGCAGTTAGGTGCTTCCTTGATCTTAGATTAAAAATTGTTCAATAATGAGTAGTAAAAGATGAATAGTAAAAGTTTTCAGATATGTGATTGGTATCAATGTTAAAAAAGTTCACTGTATTTAGATGCCTTTTTGTCACACAGTTGTATCTGCTGGCTGCAGCTCCTAGTCCAACAGTCACCGCTGTCTTCAGGATACACTTGAACTTATTAAATGGACCGGTGCTAGCATATCTATTTCCAGAGACAGAGTCTCGAGTTGTAAGTCATAATATATAATTTGGCATTGAGCCGAATGCAAATTGTAAATGACGAGAGTATATGTTTTCCAGATATTTGCAGATAGAGCAATGTATTATATTCAACATGGTTTGATGCTAGTAATACCATACTACTTATTGAGGCTTGGAGGTAGTTATCTATACTTAAATTTTACTTACCGTTTTAATTAATATTAAATGGATATTTAAAAATTTTCTCTGTCAGGTGTATATAATATCGAACCCCTATCCGATATGAGCTGGTCGGTTCTTGGTTTCGGCCTCAATGTAGGATATCACTTTTGGATTCTTCAAAGTGTTGCCTTGGTACGTATGTCAAACTTTCTGCTTGAGAACTATAATTTTAATACATAACGAGTCTCTTGAAACATGCGAGTTTTAGAATGCTTTATAATTAGGACAATATCCTGAGAATATTATAAAATAAAATTACATTGGTAGAAAAGATTGTGCATTAGTACAAAAAAGTATAGAAATAATCAAACATCTAAAACGATTGCCAACTTAAGTTAAAAACTGTTTCTTAATTTTAGTGCAATCTTATCTCGTGTTACGCTGTAGTATTTTTTGAGAATAATATCTTTACCTTCCTTTTCTATGCAGCCAGTACAAGTGAATCTTAGTCACATGTTGTGTGCAGCTGTTTTGGATCCATTTGAAGGCCAAAATTATCGAATATGGGCAGTTACCCATCAGTCAATATTATGCCCTGTTCTGTGCAAGCTATTTTGTTATGGATCCAATTTCTTCTTAACTAAGTTTCCGCCGACTAGGGTTAAGCCGTCACTGGAATGCACGATTCCAAAGAAAAACTGTACATACGAGCAGAACGAAAAGGTGCACGAAGAATCCAACACTTCAGGAAACGGCCATACGCATTTTGATTAGTTCGGTAGCGAGATTCGTTACAGCAAATGTATGAAACACTTCCTTTCGATTGAGTGAGTATGTAATTCCCGCATACGTATTTATTACCGTAACATCTAAGATGACATTATTTGTAGATTTCTAAAACTTTTACACCATCCGCATTTACCTTGGTAGTCGCGTAGATACTTACCAATTCTTATCTTATTTACACAAGAGTGTCAGATTATTCTTCCTTGCAGACTAACGCATTTATAATTATATCTAATTATAACACCCTTCGAACATTGTCTTCAGGGCCCAGTGCGAGTAAACAAAGAAAAAAAGACATCGGGCGATAGGGAAAATTAACTAATACTTATTTAATATCTAATTAACACACTAACACACGAAAAAAACAAAAAGACTATTAACACACGAACATTACTCAACACATTCCTGTTGCGGACAAATTTTTTGTCGTCAAGATCAAAAAAACTCGTTCATACAACACGTACACGTACGAGATATCGAACAGGTAACTTGATCTTAGTACAATCGTTGTGATCGTATTAGTTTTAATCCGTTAATCCGTGATACCGATCGATAAATAGTCAATTCGAGATATGAATTTCTGTCCAAATGCTTGTCATGCCTAGCGCTGTGCATAGATTAAGAGTCTCAGTGATAGTGTGAGGCTTAAGCTGACGTCCAGTAACAGTGGCTGAATAGCCAACCCTAAAAATAATAATTGCACTATCTTCTACTAGGTAAAAACGCAATATGAACAGATCATCTCATGCATTTTTATATTCATTTTTACTCATGCAATAGGAACGACGAAGGCATTCAAATAACGAAACTGCAATGTATTTTACACAGTTCGAAAGACAACTACATCGTTAGACTTTTGCCTATATATATATGCCGTGCAGACTATATAGGAAGCGGAAGTCCGTCGGGTTTCACAGTGAGTCTTCTTAGCCAGGCAACTCGAGATGTCGTAACGTATGCCAATACGAGCCGTAACATTGTCTGCTTGGAATTTGTGAAATCCTGCGAGCTTCCACAGCTTAATAATAAATATAACAGAATGTAAAGAAGCATTTTGGCGACGGAAAGCATCTGTTAAATTCGATTGATAGTAGCGATTGATAGGAAGCTGTAAAGCTGACGTACCATTTTGCGACACATAAGATATACTTTCATTTTAGTGAATCCGCGATTCTCCTTCTCTCTCTCTCCCCCCCTCTCTCACTATTTGCAAAACTGGTCATGTATATGAAGATATTTTTATATGACAGTTCCTATAAGATTGAACCCTTTGCTGAACGAGTTCTCGTGACGAGGAATACTTTTGGAAATATTTCACAGTTACGTCGTGCACTGTGAAAGAATTTTGGTATGTGTGCTCACTGCGCCTCGCGCTTTCATCCGAGAAAATGGAAACGACTCTCTCCTCATCCTCATTAGAGCTTTTGCATGATTCATCCATTATCCACTTTGTGTTCTTTCAGAACCGTCTCGGTTCTATCTTTCGTATAGAAACGTTTTTTGTAAACGTTACCTCTGAATAGCGAAATGAGACGGCCTATGTTGTTGTCCACATAGAAATAATCCAAAAAAAAAAAAAAAACAGGACTTGCGAAGTTTTTTCAAAGATAACAGCCTGATAGTACAGAATTTATGTTACTAGTGTGAATAATAATAATGATGATAATAATAATAATAGCGTTAGAGTGACACTAGTATGGAGACTTAACTTATAGAACTGCACGGAGAAAATTAACTTAACGCGATCTTGTAATATAAACATATAAACATACAAAAGTTCGATTCTCTAGGAACTTTTGAATTCCTTTTGGGGATGCCGTCGGGTGAGATATACCACAAGTGACATATTAATCTACTTGAACTACAAATAGCGTGATCCTAATTTTTGCACGAGAATGTACCAGTTCTTGCATTAGACGTGTATACTAGTGTTTTGCGAATTAAACTAGTAACAAGTAAGATTGTCTTTGGCATAGTACTATAAAAAAGAACACATATATGCTCTTAATTAAAATATTTTTTATTAAAATATGGCCTAAAAACGTGAACACAGCTGTCTCAAAGAGATAGACAGGAATGATAGGATCAGTATTTAAGCTAACGCAATTGATCGGATTGTCGAGAGTGTTTTAGTGCAAAATACAAATGCATACGTTGACGGATTGCATTAAACCTCCAAAAGCAATACGTCTACTTTTATCTAACAATAAGTAGTTTCCCCATTGTTAGCTGTCGAATGTGATCAAGTCACCGAGCGTGTTTTTACTGTGTCAGCGGTCCGATAAATAAAACTCTTCCTTTTTTTTGTTTCGCGAAATAGGAGATCAAGTGATTCGCATATATTAACTAACAAGAGAATTAATTTACATTATCTGTTATATGTTACGTATATCTGTTTGTCATTGTGATAAACGGGTCAATCCAATTATTATAATGGACAACCTCACTCATTCAAAAGAATAAATATCTCTTTATTAACACTTTGTCATGGTGCAACTTTGTCTTATTTGTTATTATTTATTTTATTATACTTAAAAAAAAGTCTTTGCTTAATATATACACATGTCCAATACTATCGTAAAGTTCGCCTAATTAGACGATTAACGAATTATTTATGCGGTGAGAAAGAGAGTTTTCTCCGACTATCGGGATATACCTCATTTGTACAACTCTCTCAACATATAATTATTTCGTATACGATATAAGCGTAGCAGGGTGTTAAATCAAGGAAAGTTATAACGTAGAATAGCGATATTCAGGTTTTTTTTTACCAAAGATTTAATTCAATTGAATTTTACAAAAGACGGGTCACACAAATAAATATAATATTTTCATGATAACATCGTTAACGATACAAATTATATTGACAGCTATTAGATACGTTTTAGAAGCTGTAGTCGCGATATTCATATAGAGAAGTGTTACGATTACGTAGATATCCCTTTACTTAAACGAGCTCTTAATTTAAGTGACGGTTATAATATCCTTTAAGAGTCAAATATTTTCTTAATGGGCGATGTACGATGAAAGTTTGCAGTTTCGTTGTTTGTATATTTAAAGGATAATCATATAATGGTAACTATGTATGTAAAACAGCATATACACACACACACACATACAAACACACACATATATATATATGTATAAACACTACATGCTTACTGATAATTTCATAATGTTCCGGAGTATTTATTGGTTTTGTTTTTAGGGTAAGGCGCGTTACATTAATTTTCTCCCTCTTGATTCGTACGTTCCTACGAAATTTCCTGATAAAACGAAGTATAACGGATACCAGTACACTAGATAAGTCATCGGTCAAATTGATATATTTTTGTTTTCTAGAATCTTCCGAATACCCCTGTAATATGTAAATATATTTCGTAGAATTAATAAGGAAAAAAAAAGGAAAGAAAGCTGCTAGAGAAAAGTTCCTGTATTAGTGCTATCATGATTGAAATTCTTTATTGCTAATATTCCTTGAATCAACGAATCTTTTCTGCGTTGAAGATTTCGAAGTAGAAAGCGTATGCGTATGTACTTGTATCACGGGATTCACGTGCGCATTTAGGTTGTATCCCTGCGATTGACTGCGGATCAATTTCCCGTCAGTTTCAGCCTCATTTATGATTGTATCGACAGCATTGTACGAATGTCTGGCACGACGCGAGACGCGTCGCCAGTGCGTCATCATCTGTTCGCAATTTCGTAAAACGTCGCAAAACTTCGTTGCCTTTATACGCGCTGTACAAAAATAAAAGAGCAAAAATATGTTAATTCTCGTTCTCGGCGTAGAACATATGACATGTAAATAGCGTCGGTGGGTTCGAGTGTGCGGTACGATGCTTCGACGATTTCATATTGCACTCTGCGTTCCATGATAGATCGATTACAATTGGACAGATAGGCGAATACGTCTTCTGCGCGCGCGATACGCAAGTAACCCGATACGCATTATCGCGTAATTAATATTGAAGTAGTTTCTCCTAATTAAGTTCGTGACAAAGATGTAATCATTATGTAATCATACTATTTAATTCAATCTAAACTAGGGACGGTTGAAGGAAAATAATGCGTAGAGTAACTCTTCGTTGTATCAGTGTTGGCTGTTTGCGCACAGCCTATGCATAATATGTATAATATATCTTAAACAGTCACTTCATACATGCACAGGATGTCTCGTCGTTGCTCCTTCAGATATTTGTTATAAGTTGAACTATTCATAATGTTCAGTTGTGAACGATTAACGAGTAAAGAGAACTTGTAGCAATGTATCTATTTATTTATTTGCGTATTTATTTATTTAAAATGGAGACTTAGTAGGTTCTTTCAGTTCTAAGCTCAGTTGTCGGACAAAGACTAGAGATACAGGAGACATTTTTCAAAAGCTAGGAAGAAAATACGCGATGCTGGTGAGACGTCCTGTATATAAACTGGGTGAACGAATAACACGAAGTCGCCTCTTGTTGCTCGTTGACTTGGATCATGCGTATCGAATAATGAAATTATATATTGTATATTTTCTGCATAAACGCCCAACACTGGCTAATATATATTTTTGTGGAAATTTATACAAATTTGTACAGTGGGAGTGTTAGTATTACCGTCACGATATGTTTCTCGTCACTGTACAGTATTACTTTTGCCAAATAAGATTGCGCTTATCTGAAAAGTTAAGGGCAATATTGGATGTACCACTTACATTCGCACTCTGGTAATTTGTGTGTTCTTTTTTATTCGGGAGTCTCTTCACTCGAACAGAATCGATAGGTGAACTGGGGAAGGTGGGCTTAACATGTTCAATATCGATACGCGATACTGATAAAGGCAAGCATCTGGTTTCGGTGCCATGATGGTTTCTCGAGTCCGATGTCGTCAGATATCTGAGAGATGAGGTATTGATGGACGTAACGTAACTGTTACCGTCACTAGCGTTCGAATTGTGAAAGCATTGTAAAACTTTGGGTAAAATGAATAAAGGAAATGGTTCAGATCGAACGCTATATTTTTTTTTTTTGTACACTGAGAAATGAGACTTATGCTTTAAGACAATGTTTTATTCTCTCAATCATTATTTAAATTATCATTATTTTTTTTTTCATTATACAGCGGTTTGTCATCAATCACAAACAGACTAATGGCGGAAGTTTGTCGCAAGAAGAAACGATGCTTACATATGAAATAAAGTTTATTTCACAAATATTTATAATCACTATTTACACGATTCTGTACAAAAGTTTAGAAAAACTAATTCACGAACACTACATACGGTAAACGCAATCGTCATATAATAAATATGTACATTATACATAATTGTCTAATCACACCTAGTTCTCGTTCTATAATCTCTCGCCTCAGTATTCAATTTTATATTAAAACAGTATTATTTATAAATATATATGTATAGACTTAATAGATTGCAATATACAATTTTTCGTATTTATATATGTATATATGTATATGTCGATCAACATAAAAATTTACTAGACTTGATCAATGAAAATGGGACAATTTTTCAAGACTCGACGCGGTAAAGCGAAATGTTTCTTGTGCATTCACCCGTCCGCAATATAGTGGCATAAAAATTTACAGTGGCATATACACGAGATAGTAAAACGATATTGGTATACGACTAGCAACTTAATATATAGCTTAAAACCTAAATCTAGACTTTAGAATATTGATTCCAAAGTCTAAGTCAGATCGCATCGAGGTGCGATCACGTATAAGGACGTTAAATATTGAAATATGAGAAAAATACATTTCACCGGGAAATGCTTAAGAATTACTGGATGTTTTTTCTTTTGCGTCTCTCTTAAATCGAAGTGGTACATTATGAGCGTTCGGATCCTTATTCGCTTTCTCTTAGAACAGAAACTACACGAAAGAAAAAGAAAAAAAATCCAGTTTTACCTTTAGGACGAATAATTTCCAGTGTTTCTGGCGTGCCTGTTGAAAGAGGCCTTGCAGAACAACCCGTTCTGTCACTATTTGACTTCACCACGCTGTACAACTCTTGTTCACGCTATTTGTTCTTGTACAAAAAATAACGTAGCTATACTCAATGAACACTTTAAGTGGGACACCCTGTATACTATCGTGCGAAGAATTACTCCTGAAAGCCATTTTTGGTATGGTTATTGTAATACAAGAAAAAATACAATTAATCGCGCGCGGTAAAAATTCTATTTAACTTTCTATGTGTATATAGATGATTGCACACACACACACACACACACATATACGCACCACACGCAGCAAATCACATGAAAGCAAACTATACGTTAAGCTTCACAGAAAAACGAGAAGGATTTTCTCGTGTACCGACTTATCACCTCTCCTAATCTCCTTAACAACAAAAGTTTTTACATTCATGACAATGTTGTTACACAGATACATTAAAAAGTGTTAAAAGAAAATGAGCATTCTGGAAGAATGCAATGTGTTCATTGCCTTACTACTTAGCAAAAAATAACAAAGGATTGTAAAATCTTAACGAGTGTCCTGGAGTTTAGCATATGCTATAAAAAATTATAAATGCAAATAAAAAATCGAGATATATAAATACTATTTGTATATAGGAAGTATGACATCAAAGTTCCTTACAAAAATAAGAAAGAATTGTATATATATTAAACATTTCTTTGCATAAAGAAATAATAATAATCAAGAAGAAGTTTAGGCTCCAAGAAGTTCAATCCAAAATAAAGAAAGACAGCAAGAACTTATAAGAGAACATAAAAACAATGGCGATATGAGGCAGTATACAGAAATTAGTACGCAAATTGTCCAATATTTAATTCCAAAGTACCAAATCCACATTTCACAAATAACGTACACTTCGCTCCTCCATTTTCGGAATCTTTTCAATGGCAGCAATATAAATCGTACGATGTTATAACGGACAAAGCTCCAATACAACTTAATATATAAGAAAATGATGAAAACAATATAAAATACATATACATATAAAAATCAAAAAGAACAAAGAGAAAAAAAAATATTCAAAACAAAGATGACACTCAAATTAAATACAAAAGACGATGCTTGTTATATTATATATTTTTTTAACGAGATAACTTATATATCATATTTTATATTCTTAAAATGTATGGACTTAGTACTTTGGAATTAAAGATTAGACGGTCTGCATACCAACTTCTATATATCGGTTCACATAACCATTGTTTTATGTTTTAAGTTCTTGCTTTTCCTTCTCACACTTAATTAAAATAATAATAATAGATAATACCACATAGGACTATTAAATATGGCAAATTTATTACTAATATATACATATATGCTGAAAATGACTGGTGATACCCAAATTTTATCTGGGAATAATATGGCAATATTTGTACAACGTGGCATCATCTAACGAGAGAAGTCTTCCGGTAAAAATTACTGAGAAATGTATTCATAAGCAATTACTTAAGATACTTAACTTTCGCGGATATGTTTCAAAACGTAATGTGTTAGCCATCCAATGGTGGTCCTAAGTATACCATAGACACTTCAGTTTTCCCGTAAACCGCAGATACAGATGGATACAATCTCTTATCTGGCAATCCTGTCAAAGTTGCTTATGAAAGCTTACAGTTTTGCTCTAAATCTCTAAAAGCTCTAAGAGGTTGGGACACATTCTAGGAATGAATGTAGAGGGAAGAGAAGTCTCATATAATTGTATCAAGCTTTAAATAGCGATACAAACATGCACACGATGTTCAAGAATAATTAAAAAACCTTACCTCTGAAAGCTACACCTAGAAATTCATAGTTCTTCTCAAACGACAACGTATTATCATCACAATCCAAGATTACCCTAATTCTCTCTCCAACCTGTGCATAATTGTTGTGGAAATTTTAGGAATATTTCAAAAGGAGAGAATTCTTCATAACATTATATACATATATATATACAAAATTCTTCATAATATATATGTATAATATATAAAGGACAGATTTTATACCTGATATTTGGGGGCATTATTGAGGAGAGGATAATTTCCCTGCGGATCTCCGTTATGCAGTAAGTGGTTATCAACAAGATTCCAACCCCAGGAATGTTCATCAGAGCCGAGTAACGCTACATATCCATGGCACAAAAGAGGTGCTTCTTTAGTGGCAATTCCTATTACAGCTACTGTTCCTAACGGTCCTTCCCAAATAACTTCCCAAGCGTGTCGCCCATGCCGGAAACCTATTTTACCTCTACACGCGTCTGTGCTCTGCGCCACGGGGTTTCTACAATGCAAAGCAAACGTCACAGATACACGAGTGGATTTCGTCAGTAATGAGCGAGTCGAGGGGGTAACGTTGCGCTGGGCCAACCTGTGCAGGGTAAATCCGTTAGGTTTGATGTAGATATTACGTGAGCAATCGTTCGGATTCCACGCGTGATAGAAAGCACGGAGTTTCGACTTGTACGTAGGCACAGACGACAACAAATCCGAACTGAGGGCCTCCTGGGCTAATTTCCTAATACAGTGCATCCGCCACACGTGGTTGTTCTCGTCGTTGAGGAACTGGTACCACCTCTTGCACACCAACGAGCAGTTTCTCAACGTGTGCAGGTCCAGATACGAGAATATCACTTCTAAAATATGATCAGATGCTCGCCGTACTATATCGCCCATTTTGCCGGGTCTGTTTTAGGGGAGGACAGCATAAACATACGCGACACAGAAACACCGTTCGCACGTCACAAACCATGCGCACGTTAGACAGCTACGGAGTGGCTGCGGTGTTCCGATTACGCGGAATATCGATAGGCGACGACACGAAATTGAACTAAAAATAAAAAATAGGGCGGAATAAAGACGGATGAATAAAATGCGACATACTGAAACTCCCGCAAAAATTGGGATAATGAGATTGTTCAGATAGCATTTTGCAACTTGAAGTCTCTAGGACATATTTTGTGTTGCATAAATTTCACCACTTTCTTACGATGCTGATACGATCATAAGTTAAGATTCGTCAAAGGCTCATATTTTCATTAAAGTTTGTTAGTTTAATGGGAATGAAAAATTGCAAGTGGCGTTTACAAAATTTACAAAGTTTGAAAGTTCGAGTCTTTCGTTTTAATTTGCGTACTCGCGGATTACGATACGATTTTTTTTACATAAAATTAATCAACGTTGGAGAAATAAACGTTCTTTCGACCTCGATTGCACACAAAACGCGAACGAATTGATGTATGACATTCGCTAAAGATGAATAGGAACCTGACATTTTCTACTTTAAAATACACCTTTCACATTTTTGACATACATAAATTTCTTACGTGAAAACTCAACTGGGAGATGAAATCGCAAAATCGCCACTTTTCATTCGACTCGATATACATTAGCGAAAAACATTATAAATTGAATATATCTAAAAATTAGAAATTTAAATCTAAAAATGTTTCTCGAAACCTAAACAATATTTCATCTCATTATCGTCATTTTCGCCAAAGTTGCAGTCCATTGGAATTTTCTGAATCGTGAAACATGAAAATAAAAGTACGTCTGATCAATTGTTGAGTAAGATTAATTAAACAGTGAAAGCCCGTCTAACTTATCGTTGAGTCGTACTACGACCTTGAGTCTTCAATAAGAATAGGTAGTGGCTGGTAGCGGAGAATTTACAATTTAGACATCACTCGCAAAAAATAACGGGTCTAATGATATTTTAAGCCTGTATCAGACTACGGATTAGAATTGAGATTAAATTAAAATTTGGCTAAACAGAACAAGATTCATTAAACTTAAATTTTAATCCAATCTCAATCCTAATCTTTAGTCTGATACGGGCATTAGCCCCGTTATTTCAATCGTGGAAATTAATTCGAAATTGTCCGCTACGAGTCGCTACCGTTTTTAACGAAAATTTTACGTAGTAACACAACTCAATGATAAGTCAGGCGCATTTTTATTACCAAGTAATAGGACGACTTAAATCAGCGGCATACGATGCGTGCTGGATAGAAATACTGCGTTCTGATTGGCGCATTTCCAAAAACGGATAACAATACACCAATCAAAACGCAGTATTTCCATCTAGCAAACAATCCAGCATGAAAACAAGCATCGTATGTCTCTGGTTTTACAGACGTCCTTTTATTTTTAAGTTTTACGATTCAATAATAATTCAAAAGACATTTATATTTTCACGCTTTACGTTTCAATAATAAATTAAAAAACCTTTTTATTTTCAAGTAACACGACTCGATGACTGGTCGAATGTTTCTTTTTATTTTCTTATTTTATTTCTCAAATGGCCCTAGGAACATTTTTATAGCTTTATAAATCTATTTTCAGTATGCAAAAGCATAATATTACTGCTAAAAACCATACTTCATGTGTATATCATGTGTACTAGTGCAGAAAGTTCAGGTAAAAAGATCGAATTATAACCTTCTATCACGGTTCATGGAGAATACCGTTATCATTCAACTGTCTGCATTTGATTATCGTCTGCTTCATTCTCATTGTGTAATTTTATATAAAACTTGCATTTTACAAGATGTATCTGGTTGGATTAACAGGCGGCTTAGCCACGGGAAAAAGCACAGTCGCCGCTGTTTTTCAGGAACATGGTATTCCTGTTATAGATGCTGATATAATTGCCCGAGAAGGTTAGATAAATTGCAATTTACCGTGTCATTGTATCGAATACATTAATGTATATTAAATCATAAATGAAATCATGTCAAAAAATTATAGTTCAGCCGTAGTGTTTGTAAACAAATTTCGAAGGGTCACATGTTCTAGCATGGAAAAATTATATATTTATTTTCGGTAACTTACAATTGAAACATGCCATTGATAAATTTAGCAAATTCATTGTTTTAATATTTCACCAAATGTATTTTTATATGATCAATTTTCTCTGTAATCCTATGTATTTTATTTTGTATATTTAAAAATACTCATCTCTGAGAAAAGATTATGGACCACATCAGACTATTACAGAGATTTACGACAAAATAAATACAAAAGCTAAAAACATCTAATTTTATTGTGGTATTAATTAAATTACATATACACACACACATACACATACACATATATATATATATATATATCACATATATATTTACAGTCGTCGAACCAGGGAAGCCAGCATGGCATAAGATAAGAAGCGAGTTTGGTCCAGAAGTATTCTTAGAAACTAAATACTTGGACAGAGCCAAACTCGGCGAGTTAATATTCAATGATGTCGAAAAGAGACGAAAACTCAATGCCATTACGCATCCAGATATATATAAAAAAATTTATTGGCAAGTTTTTCGATACTTTATACAAGGCCATCCCTTCATCATCTTGGATATGCCTCTGCTCTTTGAAACAGGACACATGTTAGATTTCTTGCACAAAATTATTGTTGTAACATGGTGAGTATAATTTTATCTCAGTCGGTGCTTGAATAAAAATAATGTTGAATAGATTTTCAAATCGAGGAGGTGTACAGAACTGATCTTAGATCCTGTGAAACACTTAACTCTGTTTCTTTTCAATTCTTCCAGCGAGGAAGACTTACAGTTACAACGTTTGATAGAACGCAATGGATTTACAGAAGCTAAAGCGAAGGTAAGAGTAGCGACGCAGATGTCCTTGGAGAAGAAAGCAGAAATGGCGAATTTTGTAATCGAAAATTCCGGTAGTCAGAACGATACCAGAGAACAGACTATAAAAGTGATTAACGTGTTACGGTGCTCCAAGCAGCATTGGAAATTGCGTTGTCTAGTTGGATTTTGCTGTACCGTACTGTTAGCTGGCGCTTACTGGTTGAAGAACAAAAATTCCAACAAGAAATGAAATTATTTTTTAACCGAATTAACCGACCGTTAGTAGAATCGGTTGATTTACTTGTCGATTAAATTTATACGTACAATAATGCATTTGCAAAATCAAAAAATATCGTATAAAACAGGCGAAAACAGTAATTGAATTGCGCATTTTTCATTGTCATGCGCAAACTCACAAATTACAAATCCGGTCTTGCTGAGCAAGTTAACTCATTGTACAATAAAATCACTTTGCTTTTCTCCATAAGAAAAAAATAAGACAGAAAATGTTTGCTCGAGTGTATCATAAGCTGTATAAATTGTAATTACGTTCCGTTTACACGTGACTATCTGCGTGTTCTCTTGTAAAACACCTTCAGTTACAATAATACCTAGTAATCGAACGATATGTACGATATGTACAGTGATTTCATCTATATACATACTTGTGTGCGTTAATAGTGCATAATATGTACAAACCGATATAAAAAAAAAAATAATATTTCGATGCTTCATGCAACGAAAACAATATAAAAAGTATCTTATATTGAAGAGTAGAATGATGATAGATAGCATTGTATATTTCTTCTTTTACTGATTATATACTAATGCTGCGTGCCTGTGTACGTATGTATGCGTGTGTGGTATGATATGGTAATTTTTAATTAGTTGCATTTATTATATATACTGGATATGAAAATAAAAACGGTTAATTACTGGCTTTACATTAGACTGCACTACATTGGCATTCCCTTTTCATATATTCTTTTATTAATTGGAAGAATGAAAATCTCAATGTGCACACAACTTCGTTATTCACACAACATGTATATCTCACGCTCGCCAGAATTCGACAATAAAAGTCACATTCGTCTTTTCCTTTTTTTTTTTTTTTATAAAGTGCTCTNACGTAAAGTTCTACGTAAAAGATTATACATTTGTATGCATATATAAAATACACGAGTACACAGTGCTCAATTTCTTACACTTAATTATAGCAAAATATATACAAGTATGTCGAACCGTTGACTAATAAACATGACTTAAAGTCAAACCTACACTCTCTTAATTTACAACTCACTCTCCATAGACCAGTATATTGTGTGTATAGACGTGTAATATTTATGCGTTCACATACCAAATTAAACGTAAATTATTCATTATTTTTACCCTATCATTCATAGAAAAGAAATGAGGGATGACCAACTGCTTAAGTAAATTACCAAAGAAACCGGTAAAGAACTATGATGTAAGTACTTGATCGATCAAAGTACTACTATCGCGTAAGTTACCACATAATTTTCTTATCAGAATGGAGGTATAAAATTTTTCCCGAGTAAATAAGAGCAAGGATATACTATATACATTGTATAGATTACATTGGTACATCAAACGTTACATCAGACCGACTTAAAACGGCGCCGAACCCTTTTGCCGCTTGACACACATACCCTCCTTAATGTATGCTACATTTATTATATTTTATATATTCTCTATTATACTTAAATCCTTTATATGTTAACGTATTAACCTAGCCTTACTCACGCCTTCTTTTTTTATTTTACACGACAGTCCTCTCACCTATTTGAATAAACATATATTTGTAAGTTTCAAGCTTTACGGAAATAGGATTAAAATGACACACTAAAGTGTGATACTAAATGAGAGGAAAAATAGGAGGACAAAAGAAGAAAGAATGAGGGAGAATGTAATGTCATGACGCATCTATCTCGCGCGATTACAGATTGTCGCTTCTATTATTCTATAGCTATACACACTTTGGACATACATAACCGCCGCCGGCGGATGCTTAGCGTATTATCAATCTTGAGATGCTTCCAAGACGTTATTCACAGAGGAAAGGAACGCTTCTCTCTTTCCGGACAAGATAAATATATCGCGCGTAGGGACGTCGCCTACGCGCGGACTCGGTTACGATTGTCGACGGACAAAGATGGCCGATGTCTCCCGGCTAAAAGATCCTGTTTTTAAATCGAACAATTGGCGTTTGTCCCTTTCACGGCGCGTTCTATATCGGTCTTCGCATAATTAACTGTTAAGGCTTATCCGCCAACGCGACAATCGTGTGTCTACAAAAGACATTCTTCTACCGCACCGATCACAACTGGTTGTTGATTTCTTCATGCACATACATTACGCGAGTTAAGGCTGATTTATGCAAGCCGTAAACCGTAAACTTATTCTCACCGGAACCGTAAGAAGTTGATCCAATCGAAGTGTGAGAAGAACAATCGATTGTGATTGGTCAATTTCTTAAGGTTCCAGCATAAGTTAACGTTTTACAGCCTGCATAAATCAGTATTTAAACTTAGGGGCGTTAAGAGTCGATCTCGAGATACACGAACTATTCTCTCACCCTCCGAGTAGCTCCGACCCGCCGCATTGAGAGATGCGAGACGTGAGGGGAAAATCCGGCAGGTAACTCCGCACACTGCATGCTCGAGTCGGCCACGAGAGCAGAGGTATCATGCGTCGATGTTCTATCCCGACGCAAGTATTTTCCCCAGCCTCGTGGCGGTGACCTATTGCAGCACAGGCCTGAGCTCTTGGGACATAATAGGGTAAGAGACGAGAGGCGCGGTTGCGGCGGATATCGCCAGAGGTAGGCTAGCGGGTTGCTGCGTGTTGGGCGGCTGCTGATTAGTCGCCTGAGGCCCGGAGCCGCTCATCGAGATAGTCTGCTGTGCCATGGTGACGATGGGCGGCGGCATCGAGACCGGTGCCATGGAAACCGCCGCCATGGAGACCGGCGCTACGGTGCCGATGCTCACCGGGACGGTGGCTACGCTGGCGGCGACCGTGCGAAGGGTGCCCGCCGCTACCGCCGCGTTCACCATCTGCTGAGGCGTCGGTGCCTGCGACGGCGGCACTGTGTTGGTGATCGTCACCGCCGGCACCGTCACCGCCGTCACGTTCGTCCGCTTGCCCGACATTCTCAGCTGTGCGTTCTGGTCCAGCAGGAATTCGTTCGTCGCCGTCAGGTCGCTGACCTGGGCCGAAATAGAACGGAGAAGGTAAAGTCGAGAATTGGAATGAAGAAATAGACAGAGAGAGAAAGAGATCCTCGCGTACGCCTCACCTGCTTCTTCAAATCCTCGATCTTCTTCCTCAAGAACGTATTCTCGTCTTCGAGCACGAGCGCGCGCGCCTCGTTGCTTATCACGGGATAATAGTAGCCCGACGTGACCGTTGGCTGGGTGGTGTGCTGACCCATGAGCGGCGACGCCTCGAAGTGGACGACCGTCTCGCCCGATACTATCCGCCTCTTTGGCTCCGGCGGCCCTATGTAATCGGCCGGATGCGACGACGCGTTGTAACCGTTGTTGGTCACCAAGTTGTTGTGCTGATCCTCCATCTGCCAATGGAAGCTGAAAAGGAACGAGCGAACGGTTAGAGATTGAGAGCGCACGCAGACCTATTCTGTAACTTTTAACGGCAGTGTCGTTATTGTTACTTTGTCGCAGCTTTCTGTCACGTCATGTAATATAACGACAAGGCAACGATAACGAAACTGTCGTTAAAAGTTACAGAATAGGTCTATCGGAGTCGACGGCTGAATCCAGCAGAAGCCGGCGTGCGGCGAGAGTTTAATGATGATTCTCTGTGATTAAAGTAAGCTTTTAGATCCTTGATAGATCCAGAAGAATACGTCAATTAGGCTGGATCTGCGACAAGTGTAATTTAACCTTTTGCCTGAAAAATCATAACTTTGCTTGTAAAATTGTAAAAATTGCAACGCACTCGCGCTAAATTGTAACATAGTTTCTAGCGAAGAGCGTTTCTAGTGCTACGAGGCGTCGCAAATTCTAGGATTTAAACGGCTGTGACGACTTTTGGCAGCGCGGGGAGGCGTCTTTTATCAGAAATTACGTCACATTTTATTGCTCGAAGCGAAGGCCAAACGTTTACTACACCTATTGTAGATCCAGGCTCAGGCGCATGATAATCATGAAGCCTTTAAGTACCACGCTCCTCGCCGTCCGGCGAGTTGAGAAACAAATTTGCTCAGAAGAAAATGGAACTGCCTCTTCGCTTCATGTTCTGCGTGTTATTTTCCCCAAATATTGGATATTTATATCAGGTTGTTCGGTAATTTTATAGGGATATTTTTGACGAAGGATCCAAGGTCGCTACTTTTATAGCTGGGCATGCAACTTTATTCAATAATGCATTGACCGTTTTTTTAAAATAATTTTAAAGGCTCGGAAAAACCAAGTTTTTTTCCGCGGACAAATAAAAAGAATTGGGAAAAACGCTTTCTCACATTTTCCGTGGATTTTCTCGATTTCTTTTCGAGGAAAAATTGAAAAACGCGGTTTTTTAACTATATTTTTTCGGTGACCTGTCGTCGACAAAAAACCAAAAAAAAAAATAAATAAATAAATAAAGTACTTAACAACAAACGAATCGACTTTGAATGTTTCATAAAAATCCCTGTGCGAATTTATCGCGAACAACCCAATAAAATTGGACACCGAGAGGCACCAGGAGAACTTGCTCGAGTCCGGTTGAACGATAACTTCTGCTGACCGCAGCCAAACGAAGCGGCAGCACACAGGCGAGACGCGAGCACGCGTGTGTGTGTGTGTGTGTGTGTGTGTAATGCGTCAAGAGCGAATCACCAAATGACGTAGGATCTAATCTTTGCTCAAGACACACCGAGTAATTGACTCTGAGTGCGACGCTTACTTTCTGTCCTCCTCGTATCTGCGAACGTCGCCGGCGGTGCCGTTGCCGTTGGTGGTTCCGTTGAAATTATGCTGCGGCCTGGACGCGTTGTGATGCGACGGCGACATCATGTTGTGCTGCGGCTCCTCCTTTTTCCAATGGCGGAATTTGCAGTTCGCCCGCTGGCAGCTGCCCTTGATGAAATCCTTGCAGAGTGGAAAGTCCGACTTGTCGGTGTTACCGTTCTTGGAGCGGTTGAGGACGTGGGGCGGCAGCTCGCCGGTCGCCCGGAAACGCTTCTCTTCGCTCTCCGTGCAGTGAAGGAACTTGCAGCCCGGCCAGTTGCACATGCCGTTCTGGAAGTCGTGGCAGAAGGTGTATTCCTCCACCGGGTCGTCCTCGGACCGCTCGTGCAGGTACTTGCAACGCTTGCCCCGGTGGCAGACGTTCCTCAGGAAGTCCCTGCAGATCCGGCTCGCAGACTCCGACGTGTCCGCTGCGTTTACGTTCAACCCGCCTGCCATCCCGACGACCACCTGCTGCTGCTGCCGCAACCCTGACGACGCACCTGTGCCGTTGTCCGACTTTTTCTTCAGCTTTTTCATCGGCGGTGCATAATAGCGGCGTACGACGTCGTGTCGTCTGCCTTCGATCGACCGGCCAATCGACCGATTGACCGACCGGCCAACGTAGCTAAACGCGGCTAATTATGTGCGCGCCCCTGAATAAAGGAAAAAGACGACGATGACTTTAAAAATACGTGATAAGTATTATTAGTGCTTCGAGAAAGACGAGGAAGACAACTCCGTTACGGGCCTAGCGAGAAGGTCGTGAATTCTTGGATAAAAAAGAGAGAAAAGAGCCGATACGTGCGCCGTTATAATGTCGAGGCGGCAAGGTGTCGGCAATAATGTCGGTTTATTCGAAATTAACGATATAATAAATTGTAATCAATCGTGAATACGAAAAGCAGCCGTCGAGCAGCTTGAACTCGCGCCTTGAAATCTTTCGACTTTCCTGCACTGTTAGTTTTAAGAAGCGTGCGTCCCGGCATTCACCTGCTAGTTATTACAAATCTATAGTTCACGTTACGTATACTAGACTTGCAGTACCGACAGTGAATATCGGGACGCAGACTTTTTCAACTAGTGCAGCCAGAGCAGGAAAAAGAAGCAAACCTATTTGGTCTATTACTTTCAGCTGAACTGGCTGCGCTAGTTTGCAAAATTTACGCACACTGAAGCGTGAGAATCTCGTGTGTACGCTTCATTTATACTTTAGTGTGTATGTAAATTTCTCGAACTAGTGCAGCCAGTTCAGCTAAGAAGAACAGACCGATTGAAACGTATGAATCTTGCACACGAGATTCTCACGCTTCGGTGTGCGTGAATTTCTCGAGCTAGTGCAGCCAATTCAGCTAAAAAGAACAGGCCAATTGTGCCGTCAAGTAGCGTCAAGTGTGTCGGAAATGCGAAACAGTGGGTTGCGGTGAAGAAGAGCACAAGACTACCAGATACGGCCGGCTTTAATGAATTAAGTTAATTTTTATTTTCCCTTTTCATATAATGACTATTACATCGGTAGTAAGATTATATCAACAGTACTATGTACAGAGCATTTATTTATACCATATTTTATATTGTTTTTGATATTATACGTTCAACCCGCCGAAGGAGAGCGAGCAGGAGCCAAGGAGCGACGGAGCGCGACGCTCGTCGACGACGGGCTTCTCTTCGTTGCCCTGGGTCCGCGCGATACCCTTTCGGAAGGTATTCACGTACACCTTTTTGTTCATCGATACACAATGATTCGTTATTCGACGCGGTTCAGAAATGGACGCGCGCTACGGGCGATGGCACTCTCTTCCTCTAACTAAACTAACGAATTAAGAAAATACTGTCGAATGTTTTTTTTTTCTTCTTTTTTCTTTCTTTCGTGTTTTCGTTCGCGCGTTCGTATCAAAAGAATTAATAGAAAACTACGATTATCGGATTTTCTTTTTTTTTTCTTCTATTCCTCGCTTTAGACGCAGGTGACGTTCAAGGCCATTCCAAGGTAGAATCGATAGAGAACGGTTACCGAGTGCTGAGAGAAGAATTCGCGTTATTCGAGAGGTGAGTATATGTATCGTGTGTGATTGTGTGTGTTGTGTGTGTATATGTGCGCGGGTTTACTCGCTTATCATTTATTAGGTCGCTCGAAAACGAGATATGCTTTTATATTGTCATGCTACCCCATGCGATACGATAAGAAGAAAAATCGAAATCGGACGACGTAAGGTATCATTGTGCAATCGTGGTGGAGAACACGTGAGAAGAGATCCGTCGCATACACGCGATGCGCCTCGCGAGAATTTCCGCTCGGGAGTTAATGAGCTTATGATTAGAGAAGTCGAGAGCAACGCTGTAACATATTAATACGCATGCACGTGACATGCGTTTTTCGCGCGACGATTCTATACATACATACATACATATATATATATGTATATATATATGTATGTATGTATGTATGTATATATTTATATATAATCTCTTTCTCTCTCTCTCATTCTCTCTTTCTTATCTTGCAAAAGTTACATTTCTCTAACGCTGTAAGTAACCCTCAACTAGAGTTTTAAACGAAGCGTGTCACTTAACAAGTGATACGTATGTTCGAGTATGTAATCGTTTGCGCGCGCTGAATTCATTTCCTACAATTACCTATATACAAGAATGAAGAGTGAAGAAGATATCTGTGAGAGTAATGCGAGAGAATGATGACGGTGATCTTTCTCTTTCTTTCTTTCTTTCTCTCTCTCTCTCTCTCTCTCTCTCTCTCTCTCTCTCTCTCTCTCTCTCNATCCGAGAGAGTCGTTCGCAGCAAAGGATAATATTTAACCTTCCGGATACACCATGCTGGAAACGTAACGTTTAAATAAACCAACAATGAAACACGTAGAATGAAACACGTTAACATTAGAAATCGGACTTGATGCCGTATCTACGAGATATGACGCTCGGCGGCTTGGCAGCATGTTGAACATTTCACGTGGTATCACACCTCTCTCTACACATTTCCTCTCTATTTCTTTTTTTTCTCTTATCCAACCACTACTCTTTACTCCCCCAGAGCGTGAGTCGTTCTTGTTCGAGAGCCCATACGTATTACATATGCGTATGTACATATATATGTATACTCATACACATATATATGCACATATTTGAGCATGCATGTACACACGACACGTACACATACCGAATATATACACGTATATCCAGCGAAAAACCTTCCCGCCCTGTCTTTGATCTTGGCTCCTTCTTTGTGGTAACGCGACACTCGCTCGTTCAACAATCTCTCAATTAATCACGAGAAACCAGCCCTTCCCC